AAATCAACTAGTTGAGGTGAAAAGAATACGATAGATACTATGAACTGCTAAAAAGACAAATATGATAAATGGGTCCTAGAGCAAACCAAGCCTGAAGTCTCCCTAGAAACCAAAATGATTAAACTGAGCCCACTTCTAAATTGCCCTATATACCAAGATCTGATGCCAAATTATCTGTTTATCCCAGATTATTTGATAGTGTAGACTCAGGCCCCTTCCACACAGCTGAATAAAACCCCACATTGTCTCCTTTGAATTGGAATATATTGCAGTGTGAACTCAGATAACCCAGTTCAAAGTAGATATTGTGGGATTTTCTGCCTTGATATTCTGGGTTCTATGGCTGTGTAATACAGACAGATGAACAAAAAAAAGTATACAAGATATATATACACTTATAGTTGATATAATGAATTGAGTATGGAATATGACAGTATTGACGGTATTGATGTATTCTAAGAAAACCAATAAAAATATATATTAAAAAAATACAGACAGGTCCTATATCCCAGGATCTGATCCCAGGTTTTTGTTTATCCCAGATTATCTAGCACTGGGGACTCATATAAATCCAATTTAAAGCAGAAAACCTGGGATCAGATCCTGGGATATAGGGCCTGTCTGGAAGAGCCCTCATATAATCCAGTGCAGAGCAGATAATAATAATAATAATAATAATAATAATAATAATAATAATAATAATAATAATAATCTTTATTTGTACCCTGCCACCATCCCCCCAAAGGGGACTCGGAGCGGCTTACATGGGGCCAAGCACGAACAAAAATTACAATAACAATACAAATTGCAATCAAATAAACAACATAACAGTAAAATATAAAACATCAAAGCATATAAAACAATATAAGATAAGCTGGGATCAGATCCTAGGATATAAGGACAGCGTAGAAGGCGCCTGAGGCTATTGTACTTTGTCTATATCATGAGAAAATATGACTCACTTGAAAAGACGATAACCTTGGTAAAGGTGGGAGGAAAAGAGGAAGACTGTATTTCAGATGGATAGATTTAATCAAATAATCAATGACTCTGAAAGGCCTGAGTAGGGCTGATCAAAGAATGATGGAGGTCTCTGAGGCCCCTTCTACACTGCCATATAATCCATATTACTTATATTATCTGCTTTGATTATATGAACCCTATGAACCATCGCAGAGATTAAGATCCTCCGGGGAGGCCCTGCTTTCTGTCCCGCTATTGTCGCAGGCACGATTGGTGGGGACGAGAGACAGGGTCTTCTCGGTGATTGCTCCCCGGCTATGTAACTCCCTTCCTGGTGAGATCAGGTCAGCCCCCTCCCTCCTGTCCTTTAGAAGGATGGTAAAAACATGGCTGTGGGGCCAAGCTTTCGGGACAGGACAAGAAAGCAGCAATAGGAAAGTTGACCAGGCCAATTAGATTTGACGCTGAAGACCAGGACGGTTTTAAATGGTGTATTTTAATATTGAGATTACAATATTTTTGATGTTTATGTATGTGTAAATGAATTCTTCTCCCGGCATTGCATGTTTGCCATATATATGCTGTGCTCAGCCCTGAGTCCCCTTTGGGGTGAGAAGGGCAGAATATAAATGTTTTAAAATAAATAAATAAGTGTCTACCCTGCCATATAATCCAGTTCAAAGCAGATAATCTGGATTTTATATGGCAGTATAGAATGGGCTTCATTCCTGGGGTTTCCAAAAGTCAAAATCGACTTTAATAATAATAATAATAATAATACTCCATGTTAAAAACAAAATATGGATTGTTGATGATTGTCGATGATCCTGGGATATAGGGTAGTGTAGATCTGGCCGGGGTGGTCCATGCATTGGTCACCTCCAGATTGGACTACTGCAATGTGCTCTACGTGGGGCTGCCCTTGAAAATGGCCCGGAAATTCCAACTGGTCCAACGGGCAGCGGCCAGGTTGTTAACTGGTGCTCCTTACGCAGAGAGGTCAACCCTCCTGTTTAAGGAGCTCCATTGGCTGCCGTTCATTTTCCGGTCCCAATTCAAGGTGCAGGTGCTTACCTACAAAGCCCTAAATGGTTTGGGACCCACCTACCTGCATGACCGCATCTCCGTATATGAACCCACACGATCTCTCCGATCATCTGGAGAGGTCCTGCTCACGATCCCACCTGCATCGCAAGCGCGTTTGGTGGGGACAAGGGACAGGGTCTTCTCTGTGGTAGCCCCCCGACTCTGGAACTCTCTCCCCAAGGACATCAAACAAGCCCCAACGTTGGCAGTCTTTAGGAAGAGCTTGAAGACGTGGCTGTTCCAGTGTGCCTTCCCAGAATAGGAAACTCCCAGCATCATGTCCCAAATGCACTTTATTAGAGATTTAAGATTGTCTGTACACCGCACCTACCTCTAAAAACCTATATATTCCACCTGTCATGTCCAGCACTTTTAAAATTTTATTCATTACATTTGGCGCGGCCTTTAGTTTTAAATGCGTCATGGTGTTATTGTTTTAATGTTTATTGTTATTGCTTTAATGTTTATTGTTTTGCTTTATGAGTTTTATTGTTGTATTTGTTATGCTGTTGTTTTATTGAGGGCCTTGGCCTTTTGTAAGCCGCACCGAGTCCTTCGGGAGATGTTAGCGGGGTATTAATAAAGTTAATAATAATAATAATAATAATAATAAGATGCCATATAGTGCAGTTTAACTGCACTGAACTGGATTATAGAAGCCTACACTACCACATTCAATGCGGTTAAAGTGCATTATATGGCAGTGTAGATTAGGCATTTAGGAGCTCATTTTAACCCACATATTCTGACTACGGCATTGGGAGCATGACACCAAATATATCTAAATGAATGAAGAGCTTTCCAATCCACGTCCAGTCATGTCATAGTAAAAAAGCAATGGGGTCCCAAAATCTTAGAATGATAGAGTTGGAAAAGACCTCATGGGCCATCCAGTCCAACCCCCTGCCAAGAAACAGGAAAATCCCATTCAAAGCACCCCCGACAGATGGCCATCCAGCCTCTGTTTAAAAGCTTCCAAAGAAGGAGCCTCCAACACACTCCAGGGCAGAGAGGTCCTCTGCTGAATGGCTCTCACAGTCAGGAAGTCTTCCTAATGTTCAGATGGATCTCCTTTCCTGTAGTTTGAAGCTATTGTTCCATGTCCTAGTCTCCAGGACAGTAGAAAACAAGCTTGCTCCCTCCTCCCAATGACTTCCTATCACGTATTTATACATGGCTATCATGTTTACTCTCAGCCTTCTCTTCTTCAGGCTAAACATGCCCAGCTCTTTAAGCCGCTCCTCATAGGGCTTGTTCTCCAGACCCTTGATCATTTTAGTCGTCCTCCTCTGGACACATTCCAGCTTGTCAATATCTCTTTTCAATTGCGGTGCCCAGAACTGGACACAATATTCCAGGTGTGGTCTAACCAAGGCAGAATAGAGCATGGGTAGCATGACTTCCCTGGATCTAGACACTAGACTCCTTTTGATGCCCAGCTCTTTAAGCCGCTCCTCATAGGACTTGTTCTCCAGACCCTTGATCATTTAATCGCCCTCCTCTGGACACATTCCAGCTTGTCAATATCTCTTTTCAATTGTGGTGCCCAGAATTGGACACAATATTCCAGGTGTGGTCTAACCAAGGCAGAATAGAGCATGGGTAGCATGAATTCCCTGTATCTAGACACTATACTCCAATTGATGTCCAGCTCTTTAAGCCGCTCCTCATAGAGCTTGTTCTCCAGACACATTTCAGCTTGTCAACATTGGGAGCAAGTCACCAAATATGTGTAAATGAATGAAGAGCTCTCCAATCCACGTCCAGTCATGTCATAGTAAAAAAAAAACAACCCAAAATCCTCCCATGGTTTGCCTTGTGTTAAAAATATTTGGAATATACTGAATTTAATATATGTTCCCTGTATTATTATTTTTTAAGCTGCTCATCGGGACATACTGAATATGAATGGTCCCAGGATTTAGAATGTGTGACGTCATAATGAAGCTGCATGGGCCTCTGAGCATGTGCAAAGTGCATTTGCTGCTGCCCCCCCCCCAAAATCAGGAATGGTATGGAATGCCTCCATATTCTCCCCTAAATTTTGTAATTTGATCTGCTGTGGCTCATATATTGGTCCCTTAGAGGAAACCCCAACAGCAAGCCAGAGTCCATTCCTCTGCATTTAACCACTATCCCTCAATCCCCTTCCCTGGCCTTCAATTACATCATTTGCTTTTCAGAAGGGAGGCTGCGCCTGTCCCTTTAAGACGGAACTCATTTCTGACTTCGGTTTGTTTACAACTCCCTCCTCGCGGAAGACTCACCGTTTGGGGACTGTTTCTTCACACAATCATGTGTCCTTCCGCCACCAACGACTTCCTACTTAACTCTGCTTCTCAGATCTTTCTCGCCACCCAATGACACCTCCTCCCTTTTGAAATATCATATCTGTATGTGCTATTCCGCAGCCTGAAGTGAATGAGCCACGAACGGAATGCTATAAATCTGCAGCTTCGCGTTGGAACTACTTTCTTGGGCGCGACCATTTCTTCCCACGCGGGGGAGAGCCCCCAGAATATTTCACACCACCTCAGTCGTTAAAGACAAAAAAGTATAAGATGATAAGCATCTTCAATATGCGCTCAGTCTGAACTTTTAAAGAAGATTCCGCACCTTTGGGATTAAAAAGGCACCCGCGTGTTGTAATGGTACGCTCCAATACCCGCCTCCGCAACAACCTCCTCTTATTGGCTGAGCCACTCAAGAAAGACACCCCCTCGAACCATTCACAACAGGGCTGTTTTGAGAGCCTACCAGAGAGCGGTTTCTTTTCCGTCCAACTCTATCCGAAAGCTCATTGGCTGGAAAACGTTGCCGCGCCGACCTTGTGGGAATTGTAGTCATTCTCCAAAGCGGGAACTGAGCAATCGATCGGAGGGGAAGACCACAAATCCCGAGATAACGCGGGGCGGCAGAGCTGGGAGGCGCATGCGCACTGAGAGGTGGGGGCTGGCTTGGGTATATAAGGCGAGGTAGCGCGCTGGGAGCAGCAGTTGAGAACGGGCGGTGCTCGGGTGAGGGTTGGCAAGGTTGGTAGAGGAGTGAGTGTGCGGGCGTTGGGCGTGCGCGAGGGGGTTAACCCTTTCTTGCCTGGGTTAACCCTTTCCTCCCCGGTGGCTTTTCCTTAACCCTTTCGGGGCGGGACTGGAGTTTGTGGTCTGCTGAACCAGCTTCTCTTTCCAACTATTGGGGATCTGCCTTGGGAAGAGGAAGGGAGGAAGCTCAGAGAGAGAGAGAGAGAGAGAGAGCACACTCCTCTCTTGGCATCAGGACTATTAACCTTTTGATGCCTGGACTGGAAGGACTTTAACCCTTGGGGGCCTGGATTGGGACGACTTTAACCCCTTGTGGCCTGCACTGCAGGGAGGATATTACTATTATAATAATGATTATTATGATTATGCATGTTATTTAACCATTTTAATACTCAGGAGTATTTTTTGATTCCCTGATTATTATTATTATTATTATTATTATTATTTTGCATGCTTAGTTAACCATTTAAATACCCAGGAGTTTTTTTATTCCCTGATTATTATTATTATTATTATTATTATTGTTATTATGCATTAATTCCCTAATTATTAATATTATTTTGTATGTTAGTTAACCATTTAGGTACCCTGGAGTATTTTTCTGATTCCCTTATTATTATTATTATTATTATTTTGCATGCTAGTTAACCATTTAAATAGCCAGGAGTAATTTTTGATTCCCTGATTATTATTATTATTATTATTATTATTATTATTATTATTATTATTATTTTGCATGCTAGTTAACCATTTAAATACCCTGGAGTATTTTTTGAGTCCTTTTATTATTATTATTATTTTGCATGCTAGTTAACCATTTAGATACCCTGGAGTATTTTTCTGATTCCCTGATTATTATTATTATTATTATTATTATTATTATTATTATGCATGCTATTTAACCATTTAGATACCCAGGAGTTTTTTTATTCCCTGATCATTATTATTATTATTATTATTATTATGCATGCTAGTTAATCATTTAAATACCCAGGAGTTTTTTAAAAAATTCCCTAATTATTAATATTATTTTGTATGCTAGTTAACCATTTAGATACCCTGGAGTATTTTTCTGATTCCCTGATGATGATTATTATTATTATGCTTGCTAGTTAACCATTTAAATACCCTGGAGTATTTTGAGTCCTTTATAATAATAATAATAATTATAATAATAATAATAATTATTATTATTATTTTGCATGCTAGTTAACCATTTAAATAAACAGGAGTTTTTTTTATTCCCTGATTATAATTATAATTATTATTTTGCATGTTAGGTAACCATTTAGATATCCAGGAGTTTTTTTAAATTCCCTGATTATTATTATTATTATTATTAATTTGCATGCTCGTTAACCATTTAAATACCCTGGAGTATGTTTTTTGAGTCCCTGATTATTATTATTATTATTATTATTATTATTATTATTATTATGCATGCTAGTTAACTATTTAAATAAACAGGAGTTTTTAATTCCCTGATTATAATAATTATTATTATTTTTATAATAATAATAATTATTATTTTGCATATTAGTTAACCATTTAAATACTCTGGAGTTTTTTTTAATCCTTTATTATTATTATTATTTTGCATGCTAGTTAACCATTTTAATACCCAAGAGTATTTTTTTTATTCTCTGATTATTATTATTATTATTATTTGGCATGCTAGTTAACCATTTAAATACCCTGGAGTATTTTTGAGTCCTTGATTATTATTATTATTATTATTATTACTATTTTGCATGCTAGTTAACCATTTAAATACCCTGGAGTATTTTCTGATTCCCTGATTATTATTATTATTATTATTATTATTATTATTATTATTATTATTATTATTATTTTGCATGCTAGTTAACCATTTAAATACCCTGAAGTATTTTTTGATTCCCTGATTATTATTATTATTATTAATGTATAATATATAATTAATAATTCAGTCCGGCAGGACTGAAGACCGACAGGTCACAGGTTCGAATCCGGGGAGAGGCGGGTGAGCTCCCTCTATCAGCTCCAGCTCCTCATGCGGGGACATGAGAAAAGCCTCCCACAAGGATGATAAAACATCAAAAATCATCCGGGCGTCCCCTGGGCAACGTCCTTGTAGACGGCCAATTCTCTCACAACAGGATGCTCCTGACACAACCAAAAAAAAAAATTATTATTATTTTGCATGCTAGTTAACCATTTAAATACCCAGGAGTATGTTTTTTATTACCTGATTATTATTTATTTATTTGCTTTATTTTTATACCGCATTTTTCAGCCTAATTCGGCGACTCAATGCGGTTTACAGTACAATTTATATAACAATAACAATTAGTTAAAACACAACATACACGACAGACAATACAAAGCAACACAACATAGTCATCAACTATTATTATTACTATTATTATTATCAACTATTATTATTATTTTGCATGCTAGTTAACCATTTAAATACCCTGGAGTATTTTTTTGATTCCCTGATTATTATTATTATATTGCATGCTAGTTAACCATTTATATACCCTGGAGTATTTTTCTGATTCCCTATTATTATTATTATTATTATTATTATTATTATTATTATTTTGCATGCTAGTTAACCATTTAAATACCCTGGGATATTTTTTTTCATTCCCTGATTATTATTATTATTTTGCATGCTAGTTAACCATTTAAATACCCAGGAATATTTATTGATTCCCACTTTATTATTGGACTCCTGGGCTATTTATGATCCCAACTTGTGAAATTGTTGCTTACAGGTTCATTTTGAGAGATCTGGATCCCAGATTAATAACCTCTCTTGTGTTTCCAGATGTGCAGAGTCGCTGTGAAGATAAATTGGCAGATGGGCAACGTTGGCCTGCGGTGAGAAGAGGAAAGACAGCTTAATCAGTCTCTTCGTATCTCCGAAATCAGACTCTTTGTATGAGAGTGAATGTCTCTCACTCCAAGGGTGACACTGAACAGCATTTGTTCTGCTGAGAGTGGAGTTTTGGGGGAAAAAAACTTGGGGAAGAATACTTGATCATCTGTTTGGAGAGCACTGCGAGTGGTCCTTAAGGAAGACCATTAAGAAACATTAAAAGCCGTAGGATCCCAACCTTGCAAGTTGGTGACACCTTTGCCCCATAAATAAAGGGGTTCTTTGATCGACAACAAATCCGACCTTGGAGAGGAAGGAACCAGCCATGGCGGATGCTGCTGTGTCTTCCAGTCGGCAGCAACCCAACGGCAAATCATCTCCCATCTCCCTCTGCTTGGGTGCAGGTGGCAGAGACAGTGGAGATGGCGATGGAGGGGGACCTTTTCTGGCCTCTCCTCCTTCCAACCAGGAACTGCTTCACAGAGAGGAAGCGGGCAGCAGGTGGCAGCCGAGAGAAGCCACGCAGCATGAAGACGGCAGAGAGGATGCCAGCCTTGATGCAGAACAGGCAGATTCTCCCGTTGAGGAAGGTAGCCCAGAAGGTGAGGCAGTGGTCCAGAACTGTGGCACAGCCGCGAGCGATAGGCCGGCCCTGGCTCTGCCCTGTCGAGAATATTTTGGCCCAAGGTACAGGCCTCAAGCCGCCGGGGAAGAGGAGCGGCAGGTGGGCAAGAAGAAGCACCGGAGACGCCCTTCCAAGAGGAAGAGGCAATGGAAGCCGTACTACAAGCTCTCCTGGGAGGAGAAGAAGAAGTTCGATGAAAAGCAGAGCCAGCGGGCATCCCGGCTGCGGGCAGAGATGTTTGCCAAAGGACAGCCAGTGGCACCGTACAACACCACACAGTTTTTGATGGAGGACCACGACCAGGAAGAGCCAGACCTTAAAACCGGCCTTTGCCCCAAGAAGGCAGCTGCCAAGGCTGAAGACACCAGCGAGGAAGATTTTGTGGAAGAGGAGGATGGCGGCAGCGATGGGATGGGAGGCGACGGCAGCGAGTTCCTCCAGAAGGACTTCTCGGAGACCTACGAGCGCTTTCACGTCGAGACCCTGCAGAACATGAGCAAACAGGAGCTGATCCAAGAGTATCTGGAGCTGGAGAAGTGTCTCTCCAAGATGGAGGAAGAGAACAACCGCCTGCGGATGGAGAACAAGAAGTTTTCAGGGGACTCGACAGAAGACCCCCGGGTAAGTCAGTTAGAGCAGGAACTGGACAGGTTAAGAGCTGAGAATCAGAAACTCTTGAAAGAAAATGAACTCAGCAGACAGCAGGAGAAATCTCTCCCTAAACCGGGAGAGTGAAAAAGCTTGCCTGAGGACTTTAAGTGGAATGAGACTGAACACCTTCCTGGGATATGAATGCAAGCTCTATATCCATATTTTGTGTGTGCGTGTGTGTGTACATATATAAATATATATAAGACAAATGGACCTTTTTTTCTCTTTTGATGATTTAATCAGAATAAATTCCAAATCACGCATTGTTTTTGAAGATAGCTCTAACATACTGTGTGCTCTTTTTTTAAAAGTATGTATAATCAAGGGGTCTCTGGGGCGCTTTTTAAAACAGAACAACATGCAGCATTTGTGAGGGAACTTTTTAAAATACACCTGACTTACCAAAACTTGGGTTTTGTGTCTCTTTTAAAGGAGAAGCTGGGGTCGGGGAGGGGAGGGACAAAGGGAAGTGACAAAGTTGTAAACCAATCACATTCTGGAAAAAATATATATGCAGATTAATGCCGAAGAGTTCTAATAAACTGAAGGACATGTGCGTGTAATAGTTCTGGTGTGGTTTCTAGAAAAATAATTCACAATATTTTCTTTGGTAGAGAATATTTTGAATGATTTTTCCAGGTAATGTTTTGATGCCATTTCAAAACAAGGTTCTGATGAGAAAAGACAGACATTTTATGTTGCTAGGTTCTTGTGGGTTTTTTCGGGCTATATGGCCATGTGCTAGAGGCATTTCTCCTGACGTTTCGCCTGCATCTATGGCAAGCATCCTCAGAGGTGCTTGCCATAGATGCAGGCGAAACGTCAGGAGAAATGCCTCTAGCACATGGCCATATAGCCTGAAAAAACCCACAAGAACCTAGTGATTCCAGCCATGAAAGCCTTCGACAATACATTTTATGTTGCTTATTAGCTTCATAAAACAGAAAAAAGCATTGGTACAAGACTTTATTAGAACACTATTTCCTTTGTGTCTTATCACTAATTATTTTGTTGTGTACATCATTTTTTAAAATTCTGCTTGGCCTTGCTGCAAACCTGTGTGGTAAGTCTCTGTCGCTTCTATTTTTACTCTCGGAGAGTCAGAGGATGGGGAAGTGTGACTTGCCCAAGGCAAAACAGTCATGATGGGGCTCTGAAATCCTGTGGCCTAGCACACCAGTTTGGGTCCCCTGTCAAGTGTCTCAGTATGAATATTACTAGCACTTCCTGCATTCAATAATTTGCCATTTTAATAGTGATGCATTGGGATAAGAATGCTATGGGCATGAGAAATGTTTAAGCATGGGAGGGGAAAGAACCATTTTTTCCTTTGCTGTTCAGCAACAAAAATAGTTGGGTGTGCTCTGCACTCGCTTGCTTTGTCCTCACCTTTGTAGCTTGACTCACTTACCTGAGCCACCTAAATAATGAAGCTTCCATAGCAGTTTCTCTTTTGATCTCTTTGCTGTTGGCAGCTCATGATGTGGTAAATATGTGAAATAATGGGTTAGGATCTAGCTGAATGCTGCCGTTGTAACACTACACACACTTCCTCTGGAACAAATCCTTCTTTAGTTATAGGCCCAAGGAGATATCAATAGGATCTTGCTGCAAAGCCTCTTATTATAGTTGCTGTTAGGTGAATGGGTGTTTACAAATATCTACGTTTCAAGATGCAGTGAGGGATTATTTTGCTAAACATTACAGAAGCAGCCTTGTCTTTTGACAAATGAAGCCTTTGGGTTGCAGTTAGAAAAGAAATTGATTTTAGAACTGAATCTCAAAAACATCTATCAAGCTTGTTTGTTTCATAAAAAGGTTCATCTAAATTGGACTATGTGAGGCAGGCCCACAGCCCGGGGGGGGGGGGGGCTTGAGGGGCTCCCCCCCCCCCCCCCCGAAATTCTCATGGTGGTCTGCGAAAAGGCCTTACTGGTACATTATTTAAACTGTTATGTTTATTCATATCATGATCTGATCACCATGCTCAATATATGTCATATGCATGGGGGTATTGGGGTAATGATACAAAGGGTTTGCTAGGGTAGACCCTCTTTCACTCAGACTCCCCCCCCCCCCCCCGAATCAAAATCCTGGCTACGGGCCTGGTGGTCCGTGAGAAGGTCTTACTGGTACATTATTTATTCATATCATGATCTGAACACCATGCTCAATATATCCCATATGCATTGGAGGTATTGGGATAATGATACAAAATGTTTGCTAGGGTGGATCCTGAGCGGCCCCCCCCCCCCCCCCCCTGAAATCAAACTCAGCCCCCACCCGAAACACCCTCTTCCCCCCACCCCACCCCCGAATCAAAATCCTGACTACAGGCCTGGTATGAGGCATTCTATGAATTTATATATTGCTCTCCCTTTTTTAAAAAAATCAATTCTGCCTCTTCCATATTTTAAAGCCAAACATGCTGCTGTTTTGTATTTACATCAGTGTGTTTGGTGATCACGGTTGGATCCAAACCAAATTTGTTTATACAGATGCACAACTTGCTCTTCTGTACAATGGGTGCCCAAGGAAATGTGCTAAAAAAGTAATAAAAATGCCATCAAAGAGCCAGCTATAAAGAAGATCTGAGATTGTGTTTATTATAAAGCAGAGAGGTGTCTGAATTATGATGAAGCCAAGGCGAACATGAGAGGAAATTCCTCAGTGAGGATGCCATTACAAAAGAGATCTCGTCTTGTGTACATAGTGACCAAACCCCTCCAAAGAGTGCATTTTTCAAATCTATATTTTACAGATGGATCTAGCAGCCTCGTCTTTAATCATTTACTCTTCAATAAATACAGTGGGCCTGTTCTATATCGGGACCTGAACATGGGGGTATGGTGCATGCAACACTTGGCTTTTGTGCCTATAGTATAAATTGTCAAAAATGATCCATTTGTCTTAACAGACCATTTTTTATGCAAAAAGGCTTCTGTTAGTCTGTCTTGAACATGGCTCATCGGTTGGTGCTCACAGTCCCCATTATGCTGGTGCACACATAATGCAGCACTCTGGTTAGCTTCAGAAATGGAAGGGAGGCAGAAAGACATGTGCAAAAAGCCAGGAATAGACACATCTGCAGGGTGCTCCCAGTTCCTTAATGCTGCCCAATCTGACTCTTGATTCTCTCTGCCAGGGATGATGGGAGGTTGATATCTTCATGGCTGCCTTGCTACTACAAGCCAAGGCCTTTAAGGATGTTCCTATACAGTAGGCTGAATGTGGCTTGGTCGTAATCCCTTCCCTTCCAGAAATTCTGATCACCATGGAAGCCCTGTGATTGAAACATCTCGGACAACTTGGCCAAACTGCCGTTTTCACAGGCCACTGTGTAATGGGAGATGCATTCTTGATGAGGAGGCACAAAAGACCCCACCTTTGAGAGATGGGGCAAAGCTCACCTTGGCCTCTTCAATGAAAGGAGCTGTGTTTCCATGGCAAGGTGCTGGAAAATGCCTTGCTATCCCTTCTGGACTCTGCACCTTATCTCTCTTGCACACAACCCTTTTCAGCAGCAGAACCTCTCTGGTTGTAGACACCCTTCTTTCTCAAAAAAATGAGAGCACCGTTGGCCCTCCACATTTGTAGGTTGGATTACTCATGGATGTGACTAAACTCTCGAGGAATGTCCTCCAGCACATGGCAGATGTTAAGCATAGAATCAGGCTGGAGGAACTAGAGATTCCTATACAGGTGGAAAGTATGTATTTTTGTTTGTATTTCCTGCTGCATTTATGAGGGTCTTGCACTCTTACCACCAGCTAATGTAGTGGAATGCTGGCTGTATCTTCATTTTGGGCTCTGATCATCAAAAGCACATGGAAAATGCTTGGATCACAGACCTGGGAACCTCTCACGCTACCCAGTCACACCATTATTGATTTATTTATGTACTAGCCGTCCCCTGCCACGCATTGCTGTGGCCTACATGGGGGTTCTGTGTTGGGAGGTTTGGCCCAATTCTATCAGTGGGATTCAGAAGGCTCTTTGATTGTAGGTGAACTATAAATCCCAGCAACTCCAACTCCCAAATGTCAAGATTCTATTTTCCCCAAACTCCACCAGTGTTCACATTTGGGCGTATTGAGTATTTGTGTAGAGTTTGGTCCAGATCCATCATTGTTTGAGTCCACAGTGTTCTCTGGATGTAGGTGAACTACAACTCCAAAACTCAAGGTCAATGCCCACCAAACCCTTCCAGTATTTTCTGTTGGTCATGGGAGAACTGTGTGCCAAGTTTGGTTCAATTCCATCGTTGGTGGGGTTCAGAATGCTCTTTGATTGTAGGTGAACTATAAATCCCAGCAACTACAACTCCCAAATGTCAAGATTCTATTTTCCCCAAACTCCACCAGTGTTCACATTTGGGTATATTGAATATTGGTGTAGAGTTTGGTCTGGATCCATCATTGTTTGTGTCCACAGTGATCTCTGGATGTAGGTGAACTACAACTCCAGAACCAAAGGACACTGTCCACCAAACCTTTCCAGTATTTTCTGTTGGTCATGGGAGAACTGTGTGCCAAGTTTGGTTCAGTTCCATTTTTGGTGGGGTTCAGAATGCTCTTTGATTGTAGGTGTACTATAAATCCCAGCAACTACAACTCCCAAATGACAAAATCAATTTTTTTTAGTGAAAGACTACATTGGGTCCCACAGCCACATGTTTATCATCCTTCTAAAGGACAAGAGGGAGGGGGCTGACCTGATCTTATTAGGGAGTTCCATAGCCAAGAGGCAATTACTGAGAAGGCCCTGTCTCTCGTCCCCACCAAACGCGCCTATGATGGTGTGGGACCGAGAGCAGGGCCTCCCCAGAAGATCTTAATCTCCGCGGTGGTTCATAGAGGCGACTCAAGGCGGTTCACAGTCGGCAGCGATTCGATGCCATAACAATTGTCAGAATACAGTTAAAACAATTTAACATTTAAAATGTAATATAAAAGAAGCAATGCCTATTAAAACAAAATCCTTGGTGTCTCCTTACTAAAATCGTTGTCCAATTGCATCGTCAGTCATTCTATATATTCGTTTTCGTCTAATTATGCTCCAGTAGTAAAAGCTTGCTTGAAGAGCCAGGTCTTAACTGATTCTCAGCCTGTGGGTCCCCAGATGTTTTGGCCTTCAATTCCCAGAAATCCTAACAGCTGGTAAACTAACTAGGATTTCTGGGAGTTGTAGGCCAAAACACCTGGGGACCCACAGGTTGAGAACCACTGTTTAACCATTTGCTTTCCACTCAACAGCCATGGTGCTACCCTATGGAGTCCTGGGATCTGTAGCGTAGGGAAAGCTCTAAGGCAGTGGTACACATCCTGTGGCCCTCTGGGTATTTGGGACTCCAGTTCCCAGATGCCCCAGCTAGCTTGGCCAATGGTCATGAATTCTAGCAGCTGAA